CCGCAGGCAGCACCGCTGAGCGGGGGGACGGAGGGGGCAAACGCCCCGCCGGTGGGAAGGTGACCGGTGTCGTTGGGCGCTTCGTTGCCCAGGGAACGTAGGAGGAGCGATGAGGGAGAACGGACGTTCCGTCTCTTCAAAAATTGGCGGGTGGATGCTGACTGATTGGGTAAAACTGCTCTGGAGAGGGGCAAAGAGGCAGAATCTGCTTCCGTGGGAGTTCTGTGACTTCCTAGAACCTCTTCTCTGTTTCCTGCTGCTGAGAGATGCTTTTAGCAAATTTTGAAAATACTACGTAGGTGACATTTTATCCAGCTTGCGGTTATGGTGATAGGATATAAATCTGCTTCCATCCTCTTCAACTATTACTATTCAGCTATTACTATTGTTATTGCGTAAAAGCTGTCATTGAACAAATGAAGTAAAAAAACCCCAACCAAACCTATGGAGGAAAGGAATATGAAGAAAGGAAAGCTGAGAACTTTGCAGGACATCATGATATTTCAGCCTGTGATGTACGTGGGACCGCTGTTGCCTTGGGTGTAGGACTGAACTCCTGTGGCAATCCAGGACAGTGGTTTCTTTGTAGGACAGACTGCGGCTTCATTGAAGTCGGAGAGTTTAAGGAGAGGCAACAGATGTCATCCGTGCCCAAGGCAAGGCGAGTGGCAGCCAATCAAACTGAGGACCAGGAAGAATGGATATTTATAAAAATCGCTTTAAAAGCAATGAACAAGGATAGAAAGAAGAAACATGACATAAGCAGGGCTGCGGTGAGTGGGAAGAACGCATGTGGAGACTCTTCAGAAAGAGTCTTTTTGAACATTTCAAGAAACTAACCCAGAAGACCCATCATATTCAAAGTTGGTATGCAGAAATGTCATATAAAATAACCATGTTTTTACTGGTAAATATAAATATAGTTCTAAAAAACTGGTATTTTAATCCAGCAAACTCATTCAAAGGCCAGGTCAAAGCTGTACGTCCTGCTGGAAAATGTACTCTGCCGGCTGCACACTGTTTTTCCAGGTGCTTCCCTGTGCCAGGGGTAGTCTTTTCTTTCCATCTTGAAATAGGAGGTTTATAACTTCTGAAAGATAGCCACAATTAAGACAAAAGTTACTTAAATTATAAAGCTTGGTTTTTACACCCGTTTTCATTTTTAGTGAAATACATAGCTCAAAGGTTCTTAACTAGTGTTATATTTTAATAAAGTAAAGGAAATCTCAGGCTCACATTCTTGTCGTCTTTTTTTTTTTTTTTTTTTTTGCCAACCTCCAGAACTACTTAAAAATGCAAACAAGAGGAGAAGAAAATGTGAAATTTAAATGCCAGGAAGATAAAAGCTCTCTTTTCCCTCCCCCTTCATAAAGTGTGTGGGGTGGGAGGATTGAAAAGCTCTTAATGATGCAGAGCTGTGGTTTGAAACTAGAGATTCAGAGTATGAATTTTTTATAGGTCTTGTGACTGAAAGCTGAAATGCCCGGGTGTTTAACAGAGCATTTCTGTAGTAATACCAGAGAG